GTACAAACCCGAAGGAAACTTCTTTCGGAAATCTGACTATATCATCAGAACAGTTGAAAGAAATATCCCTTTAAACAATGAATTTGAAGAATTTCAACTCCTTTCAAAATCATCTATACAAACTCATAAACAAAGTTATAACTATCTGCACATCAGATGTGTCCAAGTAGCTATCAAACCCCTTGGAATTGATATATATATATATATATATAGTAAAATCATTTCTGCAGCCGCTTTACGTACAACAACGATAGGTGTATGGTTATGATTCCTCACATTTAATGCTTTTATCCTTTGTATGGTTATAACTCCCCACATTTAATGCTTTCAAGTATATATATGACATGTATTTGATTGTTGCACGTACAGCAGCTATAGAAATGTAAACTCATATATATATATATATATATAGAGAGAGAGAGAGAGATAAACATTTCTCAAGCAGCTTGAGAAATGTTTATCTCTGGCTACCCCAAAACTACGTCATTTTATTTATTTATTTTCTTATATTAATTGATTCACCTTTGAATGGTTATGATTCCTTTTTTCTCTCTCTTCTTTTATCACCATTGATCTATCTTTGTATGGTTATGATTTAGTAGCCGGAGATAAGATTATCTCAAGCAGCTTGAGAAATGATAAGCCTATATATATATATATATATATATATATATCTATATATATATATATATATATATATATTTGATATCGATGTCAAACTTTTAAATTTGACATCAAATTCTAAACGTTGATTTTCACCAATCAACAGTTATCATTTATTAAGAATTAATAATTAATTAATGAGTTTGATTGACGAATAGTATAACCCTTGATTGACATAAATCAATGATAAAAATTTGGTGTCAAAGGATCTGTCCCTATATATATATGGGCTTATCGTTTCTCAAGCTGCTTGAGATAATCTTATCTCCGGCTATTAAATCATAATCGTACAAAGATAGATCAATGGTGATAAAAGAAGAGAAAGAAAAAGGAAATCATAATCATTCAAAGGTGAATCAATTAATATAAGGAAATAAATAAATAAAACGACGTAGTTTTAGGGTAGCCTGAGATAAACTTATCTCAAGCTGCTTGAGAAATGTTTTTCCCTATATATATATATATTACACTGATATAATTTACATCTTTCATCATATTTATATCTAACTCATTTATAATTTATTTAGGTAGATAAGACTCACGTATTGTTGGATATGTGTTTTGCACCTTTAAGAAGTTATGTTTTCCATATATTATGTACCAAAAAAAAAAAAAGGAGTTCATGTATTTACCCAAAAAAAAAAAAAAAAAAGAGTACCTGAGACTGATTTGATGGTTATATTTTGTGAACATCCATGGACCTGTGTAAAACTTTTGCCAATTTTACTATAATTAACATAAAAACTGAAAAAATTCTTCATAATACTGCATTTATTTTTTGAAGCCCTCTCGACCTTTCAATCGTGTATTTGTCTCGGGTGCATGCTGTGATTGATGGGCAAAACCTTTGTGTATTTATTGGCTAGTAATGGCAAGGACAAGGAGCGAAATGCTTTTGCAGATGAATTATTATAAGGATGGTTTTAATTATTAAATTTGGAATAAGGAGTGGTAATATACATTTAACTGGCTAAAAAAAAAAAGTATTTTAAATAAATTAAATAAAAGTTAGTTGAATAAGAATAACAATAAACTTGCAAAAGTGATGCCATACATTTTAAAATTCTAATTAGATATCTCAAAATATTAATAAGAAAATTTTTGTAGGAAAGTATTTTTTCTTTTTTTTTAAATCTAGAAAGTATTCCAATTTAACCATCTCGAGTCTCTTTACCCTCGGAAGTATGGCTCTAATCTAACAAGTAACACCTCGTTGGATTCCGTTAACCAAATGTCACCAAATGTTAGAGAAGATGTGACACAAACCTATTTTTCCTTGCAATCAACAATTCTTAATTTAAGAAAAAAAATGACTTTCGTGACATTTATCAATACTCTAACAAGAATTTATAGGAATCAAAGCAAGGACAATTATTTTATTTTTTTTAAAATAATATTCAAATCGGTTCATTACTTCGTGACTAGTCCGATTCGGAACGAGTTTCAGAATTGAAACTTTAAACTCATTCCAAAAATAATAATGGACGAGTCCTAGGATTAAGGACACTTTATATAAGCACATAAATAATATTTAATTACTAAATTTATATGTATATGCCAATGATGAGTGTTGACATATCTAGTTAAATCTTTCACCTATACTAATAGTGGTTAGGGTTCGACTACATTGATAGACAATATATATGTAACCATACTTTTTTTTGTTTTGGTAAATATGTAACCATTAGGGGTGAAAGTGGGCTGGGCTGAGCCAAGCTTTGCCTCGAAAAGCCCAAGTTTACGTCAAATTTTTTTAATTTGGTCTGACCCAAGCCTGGTACGAGTCTAACTGTTAGCCTGACTTGACCCGTTTATAAAAAAATAAATGGCCCGGCCTAGCCCGTTAGCCTGTTAATTTTTAAACTTCCAAGTAGAACCATGAATCAACTTTACAAAATACTCAAATTCTGTTACTAAACCAAAAATTATAATTTCAACGTCCAAACAGAATCATGTATCACAACAAAACTCATACAATCTGCATTTAAATCACTTTCAAAAGAAAAATTCTCAAACTAAATAACATATATTTTATCAGATCCAAATAAAAAATCCATACTATGTAAATTAAAATAACTACATGAATCCAACAAACACATCATGATACTTGTAGTAAGTATAACCTTTCACGAAAATCTTTTAATATATTCATATACACAATCTAACATGCTGAAATCTTGGTTCCTCCGATATAAGAAATAAAATCAGATTTCTATTAAAATATAATTGAATATAATTAAGTTATAAATGATTGCAATTGATTAAATTTATATTTTTTTTTCAAGGCATACTTATTCTATTTTATTTTATTTAAGATAAATAGTACAATATTGGCCCAACCTGTAGGCTTATAGGTCAGGCCTTGTGAAAGTGGGCCTATGACCTTTTTGTTAAACAAGTTTTTTCAAGGCCCAAACTCGGCCTATTTTATGAAATATACTAGGTTCGGTCTGGCCTGACGTAGGCCGAGCCGTAGGCCCTTGTAGGCCGGCCCGCCCCAGTTTCACCCCTAGTAACCATACTTTAAATCCTATAGGTAGTCTTCCCTAACTTTGTATGATGCATATCTTCTCCTAATTTAAACTTTTTGTTTAAATAAATAAAATCACATATATCTATTTATGTAATTATGTTATTATGTTTGTTTTGAATTATGCATAAATAGTTACATAAATAACGTAACTACAAGGCTTATCACATAATCCTGATAATGTTAACCACGCAAACTTAATTATTACATTTACAATCGTTATTACTTAAACACGCACAAAAAATCTTAAATAAATCGCTTGGCTGAAATGTATGGTATTTTCTTTAAATATAAGGAAATCTTGAAATAAAATCAACGAGTTTATTTGTTTCTATTCCTGATATATATTAAATTTCAGTTTATGTTTCGATATTTTTTCCACACAAAAATCCGATAGTTTAATTTTCATATAAAATTTCAAAATTTCCATATATAATATTATTATAAGGGTTTGGTGTTTGTCATTTTAAATGACATAAGTTATGTCATTTTAGGAGAGAGATAGACACAGAAAAATGAAAATAACGGGAGAGAGAAAGTGAGTGGTTTTTTTAATTTAAAATTTAAATAATTTTTTTCTGTGTCTGTCTCTCTCTTAAAAGAACATAGTGTTATGTCATTTAAAATGACAAACACTTTTCTCTTATTATAATATTATAAATTATAATAGAGAGAGATCCACTTACCACCAATTAAGTTTACTTCTTCTTATCACCAAATCTTAACAGTTAATTTTCGTCAATCTTACTGTTATAATTTATTGAATTATACTTATTAATTAACTATTAATTTTTAATAAATTATAATCATCAGATTAACGAAAATCAACGATAAAGATTTAGTAATAAGAAGTAGTAAACTTAGTTAGTAGTAAGTATATTTTACCCGATTTATAATATAATAAAGTTCCTATACCTGAGTCAGGAAATTCGGCAATAGAATAGTGACTGAATATTGAAATTATATGAATTAATGTCCTAGAGAAAAAGGATTAAAATTAAATAATATTATAAATTAATATGTTATGAAGAAATATAAAAATTGTTGTTATTCAAAAGACACTAATAATCGATTGTTCAAATAAAGAAACACGTCATTAAAATATAAAAAAAATAAAAACCAATCCTAAATCATCTAACTTATTCTAAATTATTTTAAAATATAATAAAATTATTAAATGATATTTCCAAATTGAGGAAGAATATTGTAACAATCAAGTAGTGTTACTACCAATGTTACTATCATTCAATTTCACTGTTAGATCAATTATGTTGATCCAACGGTTATATTTATTTTCATCTTTGTATAGTTATGATTTTCCATATTTAATACTTTATATTTATTTCTACCTTTGTATGATTATAATTTTTCATATTTAATGTTTTCACATTAAATATGGAGAATTATAACCATACAAAAATAGAAATAAATGTAACCGTTGAATCAACATAATTAATCTAACGGTAAAATTAATTGGTATTAACATGGATAATAACACTAATTGGTTATTACAATATCCTCCTTCTACTAAATATTCTACAACTCATTCTTATAATGAAAATACGGAACCCGGTTTTTTCTATTCTTAAAAAAATCAACCAACTGATTCTGCAGAAAGTTTCGTCAGATGTAACCTAAATCTCTCGTCAAAATTCATAAATTAGTTAAGACCAGCACAACATGAAAGTACCAAAATACCCCCTCCCACGTATAGAACAAACAAGAAGAATAAAAGCACACATTGCTCCTTCATCTTTCTTCCTTTCCTTCATCAAAATCATAAAAACAAACCATTTTTAATGAAAAAATGGGAACGTTTCAGAGCTTCAGAAAGGCCTATGGAGCTCTCAAGGACTCCACCAAGGTTGGCCTTGCCAAAGTCAATAGCGAATACAAGGTGATTTCACAATGTATATGTATATATATATATATATAGATATATATATTGAATTTCAAGCTCATTGTTAAAATTTTCAATTGTTATCCTTATTCTTCCAAATGGGGTTCTTTCATTTTATGTTTTGATGATTGTGTTACATTTTGTTTTTGAAGGAGTTGGATATTGCAATTGTAAAGGCTACAAATCACGTGGAATATCCTCCCAAGGAACGTCATGTTAGAAGTGAGTTGATATACCTCATTAGTAATTTTTGATTCTCAATTTTTGTTACATATAAATCATGCTTCTTCTTCTTTTTTTCATTTTTGATATCAAATGTGCCATCATGAAATTTGTTTTACGTAAGCTTTGGATCTTTATTCATATTCTTAAGATTCGGTATATCAATCTATGCTCGTTCATTTTCCTTGAAAATGATAGCCATAATGTCAACCTTAAGGTATAAATCAGATTTTCTTTTCTCTCACATTTTCTTTTATATCTATGATTTGCCTTAAAATTGTTTGCAGAAATATTCTATGCAACATCAGCACATCAACCACGAGCAGATGTGGCATACTGCATTCACAAACTTTCCAAAAGACTTTCCAAGACGAGAAATTGGATAGTAAATCCTTTTCATACTTAGCAGTTTCATATATTGTCGTTTGAATATGGTAGAACATTATAATTATAAGTGTTTGAACATTCATTTGTAACTGAATAATGAAATGACAGGTTGCTATAAAGACATTGATAGTTATTCATAGGACATTGAGAGAGGGTGATCCTACCTTCAGAGAAGAGCTTCTGAACTACTCACGCAGGGGACATATTCTCCAAATATCCAATTTCAAAGATGACTCGAGCCCTTTAGGTAAATTAGTCATGTTGATTATTTGTTGTAACCATTCTAACTTGACCATCTTCTAGACCCTTTTCTTATTCATCATTGTTCTATTTCATGACCAATTGAATTTCTCTATGCAGCTTGGGATTGTTCTGCATGGGTTCGAACCTATGCTCTATTTTTAGAAGAAAGACTTGAATGCTTTAGAATCCTTAAATATGACATTGAATCTGAGCGCTTAACAAAATCATCACCAGCTGTAGCTAAAGTGTGTACTTTTCCTTAATTTATTCACACTCAATTTTTTCCAAGCAACTTATATTTATGTTCAGAATATCAGTAACTTTCAGCTTTGACAGGCACATAGCAGAACTAGGTCTTTGGCTAATGATGATCTATTGGAGCAGCTACCCGCACTGCAGCAACTTCTATTCCGCCTTATTGGTTGTCAGGTATGAATTCAAAGGAAAAAGTCAGGTTTGGTTTATGCATTTTGTTGTTTCATATCTCTCCTTACCATTGATGTTACTGTATTTTATTAACTTCAAGATGACATGTAATTTGCTTTAACATCTTGCAGCCTGAAGGATGTGCTTACAGCAATTATCTAATACAGTATGCATTGACCCTGGTATGCATGTTTAGTACTCGTACTTTCCACATAATAGCCGTTTGAGTATTATCTCAGAAAATGTTTAGTGGCAATTGCATGACTAGATAATTGTTGATACCTGTACTCATGTGACCTTATGCGCAGTTGAACTGGTATCTGCCCACAAAGAGATTTTAGAATTATATCCATATGGCCATTGCTATTAGATAATATTGCTCTTCAATAGACGAAGATTACAGTGACTTGGTGAATTACACTCTGGATTTGCTACCCTTACGGAATTTTATTTACTATAATTCAAAATTATTGCAGCCTAATTCATCCCTAGCAGCATTTTTTAATTCCATGAAAAGTAATAGAGTTTTGATTATTTTTGAAGGCACCTCTTTTTGTCACTATATTTTGGCTTTTGGCAATCTTATTTAGGTATTGAAAGAGAGCTTCAAAATATATTGTGCACTCAATGATGGAATCATCAATCTTGTAGACATGGTAGTGTCTTATCTCAATTTAATTTGCCATTTGATCATGTGGATTATAAATAGTACTAACTAATGAAAATTGCAGTTCTTTGATATGTCAAGACATGACGCAGTGAAGGCTCTAAATATTTATAAAAGAGCTGGCCAACAGGTTTACAATCATATTTTTCTTTAGAGACATTCTTGTTGCTGTCCAATGTGGATTGAATCTTGTACTCTCTGAGGTTTTCCTAAAGAGACATACTTATTGAGCTGATGGTTTTTCTTACTAATACTATGCAGGCTGAAAATCTTGCTGACTTCTATGAATACTGCAGAGGCTTGGACCTTGCTAGGAATTTCCAATTTCCAACGCTGAGACAGGTTCCTTTTGCTTCTTAGTGTATACTTAATGTGATACCATGAATAGAATCTCATGAAGCACTTTAATTCAATAAACAGCCACCTCCCTCTTTCCTTGCAACAATGGAAGAATACATTAGAGAAGCACCCCAGACAGGCTCGGTTCATAAGAGACTGGTAAGAAAAAGTGATGTACAATTTCATTGGAGAAAACTTGTGCATTATGTATGTTCTTATGTTTGTATATGAATTTCAATGAACCAGTATGCATCTTTTTCTAACCTAATAAAATGGTAAAACTGGTATCAAGGAGAAACCACTGTAATGGGGGAAAAGTGATAATTACTCATAAACTAACTTGCTCTGATGCGTGCAACTGTAGATACTCTTTCAGATGCTTGCAATGCATTTGTATAATATGGTTCATTAATAAATTTCATTCAACACCAGGAGTATCAGGAAAATGATGAATCACCTAAAGAAGAATCAGAACCTGAAGAGCCTAAAGAGGATGAGAAACAAGGTGAAGAAGTCAATGAGGAAGAACCAGCAGCAGAAGAAGAAACACAACCTGAGGAAGAGGAGGCTGAGCCTCCTCCTCTGATATCAACTGATGCTACCGATGACTTGCTGGTATGTTTTGGTTATGGATTAATGGTGTGTGCATGTATGTGATGTTGGCTTGACAGAATATATATTTGTGGATCTTTCTAGGGTCTGAATGAAATAAATCCAAAAGCTATGGAACTTGAGGAAAGCAATGCTATGGCGCTTGCAATTGTACCACCTGGTGGTAAGGCCTAGAGTATTTGATAATTGATTAAGAAATATAAATTGTTTTAGTACATGCCTTTCTGGAGATTGCAACATGCTTGCCTAATGCATACTAGCATTCTAGAGTCTCTGAGATTTACAATTCAACAACCAAACAATGCTTGTTTGGATTTCCCATCTTAAACAAGGACAGCTTATGTGTAGATTGGACCTACCGTCACGGAAATCCAAAAAAGTTAACACAACTTGTTGAAGGAACAATTGTTTTTCCAACTTTGTCGCATGAATCTGATAGAAGAAGATGGTAGATAGCTGTAGCAGAAAGGTTCCATAATATCCTAGGCCTAGCAGTGATGTCATTTTCACAACGAAGATTTTTGTCTAAAATCAATGACGATATCAGTAGCATTTCCCATATTTGTTCACATACACTTACTGGGACTTGAATCAAAGAAACTTGTATAATTATTTTTTAAAATGAATATGACAATCATGCCTTCAATCAATTAAACTATACTTGCAGTTCGATGCTTGGTATCTTGATCCAATTCTAAGATTTTGCAAACTTATGTAGGAAATAATCCAAACAACCTTGCTTTGAGTAACATTGGTGGGACTACTGGTTGGGAACTTGCACTGGTTACAACACCAAGTAACCATAGCAGTCAAGCACCAGATCGCAAAATGGTTTGTTTCTCTGCTTACTAATTTCAAATTCTTATTATTTTCACATACTATAAGCAATGAGATCTACGATGGCTTAGCATAATTTTCATCATACATAATTAAGCTATAGATACACTTTCACACAGGTCATCTTTAGAGGTCATTTGAAAATGGGTGTTATGTTTTTGTACAACAGTCCACATATAATCATGAATGTTAAGAATAACACTTAATTGTTCTTCTTTCCCCTCTTTTCTGTTGAGTCAGGCTGGTGGTTTTGACAAACTATTACTAGACAGTTTGTATGAAGATGACAATGCAAGGAGACAACTTCAACTCCAAAATGCAGGTTATGGACATGAGGGAATAGCTATACAGAATCCATTTGATCAATATAATCAACATGATCCATTTGCAATGTCAAACAACATAGCACCTCCATCCAATGTGCAAATGGCAATAATGGCTCAACAACAACAACAGCAGCAACAAATGATGTACCAACAGCAACAGCAAATGATGTTCCAACCACAACAACAACAACAACAGCACAACATGATGATGGTACCTTACCAGCAGCAACCACATAATCAATACCCTCAACAGATGCAGATGATGGGTTCTCATAATCCATTTGGAGATCCCTTACCAGTACCTAGCCATCCTCATAGTTCCATGCAGGGAAACTACAATTTAATGTAGACTACACATTCTTTCCCAAAAAGGATGTATTCTTGTTCGGTGAAGTAGGGTAACATATTTTTTATTATTGATTTTATTTAATTCATTGTTGACCAGTGAATGTGATGTGTCATTTTTTTTTATTTGTAATTATCAATGATTCATTTTAGACAAATTATTCTCTTACCTAGATCAAGTAATACACCTGCATCGTTGCTTCCTAAGCTTGGTGAAATGTTTATTTTTATTTTATTTTTCTCAATTTTAGTTTTTTCTGGAAACAGAAACAAATGGTTTGATAAAACTGCTTTATATTTTGTTCCATAATAAACCAGTTGCCCCGGAAACACAATTGGTAGAAATGAATAAAAAATAAAAAATTGCTTTATTTTTTTCGCACACTTTTTTTTTTGTAACAAAAAATTTTGATAATACAAACGTTTTCGCACACTTTATTATATACAAACATAATGTGTCATCAGTATTAAATAGACACTATTTATTAAGTACACTATTTAAAGATTAAAATAATTAAAGTTATCAAATTGTAGTTAGTTCCAAAAATTCTTCTTGAACATAGAAATAAAAAATAATAAAATAAAAAACATTTCTTTCCAAAAAATAGTGGCAGAGATAAAATCTGACCAATTATATCTTGAGACTTTGTCTTCCAGACTTTGATCTAGACTACACAATCAAAACTGAAAAACATGTCATTTTCATTTTTCATCTGTTGCTTCATAAAGATCATCCACTCCTCGTTATGTTGCAATTTGCGGCTCCGAACAACCAAAAGTGCAATATGAAATTTTATTTTCAATCTATTGTTACTTATTCCAGCTGTCTTGACTTCGAATCACAACACTGTACCAGACTTCAAGCCACGAACCCATGTATTCCCCATTATTGATTTTACTTATTTAAAAAAAGGATAGAATTTATATCTATCTATTTTCATGTCTACTCTACCTACTTTTTTCTAATATTATTAGATCAAAATTTCAACTAACCACTGTCTTTTTTCTAACAATTACCCTTTCTATCTTCTCTTGATATTCTGATCTAACTATACTAAAGAAAAAAAAAGTATAATAAACATAAAAATAATAAGCACAATATTTTATCCCTATGAAAAATATAAATTATATACACTTAAAATAAATAGTGGAAGTTAATGCAATGCTAAAATTCAAGCTAGTGAGTAACTTCATAAAACTTAACTTATTCCCCCTCAAAAGTCTATTACAGTTACGTGCCAAAACAAAAAGATCTATTACAGTGGTATATATATCAATATGCAATAAATTAATCTCGTTCAGAGGAATGCTGTGAGAAACTTTTGCTTTTTATTAGTTGGATAAATACATACATTCACCCTACAAGGGATTCAACATAACAACATTGCAAATATTCAATATATACTGATTAAACAAATCAACGTTGACTCCAAGTAGAGTGAAAAAGAGTCAAATCCCAAAACCAACACCAGTACTGCATCTTCAGGAATTTCCATTCAAGTGCTTTGTCCTTCTCAATTTCCAAAGAGTCTAGTTTTTTTCCCTCGCTTTTTTTGGACTTCCCAATGAGCTTCGGTTGCACCATGAAAATCCTACATAATTAGAGCTGAGCTCGGTATTATTACAAGGGCGCGCAAAAATGTACAAAATACAAAGACGAAGCTCAAAATATATCATGCAAGAATCTGAACTATGAAATCATATGATTGTTAAAAACTTCAATTCTCTTTCATTTTGAAATGTTCCCAATTCCACAAACAAAAAAAGTAGGGATTAATGTTTCTCCTGACGCAATAGATAGAGTTATCTCTTATTATCCCAAAACGGCATCATTTTAGGGTTTTTAAAAAAGAAACTATAATTATAAAGATTAATATAACCTTAAAATAAATTAGAATTACAAAAAATACCATTTTTCCAACCTCAAAATGATGTTGTTTTGGGGTCATAGGAAATAAGTTATCTCATGTGACGAGAGAAACATTAAACCCATTAAAAGAATGTCAAATAAGCTATATTATCACCCTCCGCAAAAAAAGAGGGGAAAAGATAATACAATCTTGCACCGGCTCAATTTTAGGGAAAACCCTTGAAGGATGTTTCTCTCCTTTTTTCTACAAAGATTCAACTATCAATAACAGTCTCTATTCATTCTTTCTCTCTTCCACGCTATCTCTCGGCTCTCTCATTTATGGGTTCCTTCTGTGCCCGGGAAGATATGGAGGAGAGGATAGAAGCTTTGGAGAATTTAATTGGGTTCCTGAAGAAGACGACCAGTAAGCATGTACCACCATTACGTTCGTTGAATGTTCACATCACTGAGATTCACAAAAATATCGAAGATATCAAATCCTATTCGGCAGTTATTTGATCAGTGGATGAATAAACAAAACATTAATCTTGAAGGGGAAGAAGATGCCGGGCAAAACACTAGCGCACTATGAAAAAAAAAAACAGAGACACAACCTAACAGTAATCTTGAGTCCAGCTCTGAAGATTCTTTGACAATGATCCAGAAAGGTTGAGCTGCCTAATTTTGCCGGCAAGATCCTATGGGGTGGATTACTAGGATAGACAAATTCTTCAAAGTGCAGCAGACAAAACCAGCCATGAAGACTTGCGTTCATAAATCATAAGCATGGAAGATGTGGGAGTACATTGGTTTTGATTCTTGAGAACGAAGACACCAAATCCGACATGGGAGACTCTGACAGCAGCTATATTGCAGAGATTCAGAGAAAGAAATATGGGCAACATTTACAAAAGGTTAGCAACCCTGAGTAAAATCAGAGCAGTCGATGAATATGTCAAGAATTTTGAACTCTTGGTGGCACAGGCAGCCAATACTCCAGAGTAGCAACTCTTAGGGCATTTCCTGGGTGGTCTGACAAAGGAGGTGAAGTGTAAGGTGACGAAGCATGATCCCGAAGACATTACCAAGGCCATCAATTTGGCCAGAGTGGTAGAAGAGGAGCTTCCGGCCACCAACGGTAGTACTGGGTTAGATTCCCATTTACATAATACCGAGTTTCAAGCATCGCAAAGAGAAAGGAATCAAGATCCAAATGAGGTCTGGGGGCGACGGGCCCAGTAGGTCCAACCAGTTTGGGTCAGAGACAGACATTTGCAGGCCCAAACAGAAATTCAACTGGCCCCTGCAACTCATCAGATAGGAGTCCACAGGCAGGGAATAAGGCCTCATCACATCCAGCATCCAAGTCCAGCACTGAAAGTTTGCTTCCACCGCACAACAGAGGAGCCAGGCATCCCCCATATCAAGATTATGCAAGACAAAGAGAAGAGGGGCTCAGTTCGCCAACCGTACAGGCTGATGCATAGGTGCCCATGAAAAAAACATGTGAGTCACGATGTTGGAGAAAGATGAGCGGCTAGATGGAGACGGAGAAATTGTCCAAAATCAAGGGGGGAGAGTAATGTGGGAAGATGAACACCCAGAAGTCTCATGCAAGGGGAATCCCCTATTTCCACCTTGAGGACAGGTGGAATTTCAAGGGGGCGGCAATTGATAGGACCTAGTTAGTTAGGAAGTTATAGAATTAGTTACGTGGTTACCAGCGAGAAAGACAGGAGATTAGCTTAAATAGTAGGAGGAGTAGAAGGGAAAGCATTCAGATTTGTTAGTCTGAGAAAATAGAGTTGTAGCTCAGTTGTAAGGGAATCACTTGGAGGATATTTCTCTCCTTTTTATGTAAAAATTCAGCTATCAATAACGGTCTCTATTCATTCTTTCTGTCTTCCATGATATCTCTCGGCTCTCTCATTTCTAGGTTCCCAACAAACTACTACTCCTAAGATGTGTATGCATAACTCAGCCAAACATTGTCATCTTCTTTTGCATACAATTGTCAACTATTACACATTTATAAAACCAACAATACATTTAAAAGTTATCATCTTCATATGTGTTTCATGGTTTTTTAATTCCACCTCTCCTTTTTTAATTTAATACTTTCCCTTTCAAAATCATGCATAAATATTAGAAAGCTAGGCAGGTTGCAAATTACAAGTATACAGAAACAATTTAGAAAATTGAAAAGGAAAGGATTAGTGCACGCTGCAGGAAACTTGAAAAATCCTAACTCTTTCCATCCCCCTTCCCCCCCTTCCTTCCTTCTTTTGATGTGACATTCATTACTATTTCCTATGTTGCCCATCAAAAAACACAAAAGAAGTGATTTCCACTATAGTAGAACAGTGTAAAAAATAAAGGCACAACACAAGCACACAAGAAACTTCCAAGCTAAAGAGAAGCTTTTGCTCACCACAGCAACTGGCTCAGCTAAATTATGGATCATCCTTCCTCATCCTCTGAATGAGCTAGATTATCTGAAAACGTCAGAACCTTCACTTTCACTGTCCCCTCCATCCCTTCTGGGATATTTATCTCCAAACCACTATCCCCGCCCTGAGCGGATTCATTCCCTGAAGTCACAAAGACAAGCACATAATTTTGTTGGAGCTCATAAATCATATTATTTTCACACACCCCAAAGTGAAAACTGTTTTCATTGTTTCATTCGCAGTCTTCAGATGTAGAATAATTATTCTATTACAGTGAGCCCAATATTCAAACCAACAATTTTTTGCGCAAAAAACTTTGGAAGACTATAGCATTATTCCCTTGAAAAATGTTAAAACATTAGGTCATCAGAATCTTTCTCATTCCAAAAACTTTAAAGTAAACGCTAAACAAAAGACCCAAGACCCTATCTTCCTAATAAAACCCACCATCATCCTGTTCTTATAATCACATTGGCATTCCTTCAACACGGAACCAAAACTTCAGATTCTAAATGCCAGAAGGAAGAACCAAACACCTCCTCAAATCAATAATCAACATACCCATATCCTTTAATAAAAAATGTCGCAACTTCTAGGAAGAGGGGTTCCAGTAATATTTGAAGGGTGGCATTCAAAACCCAAAAAAAATGGTATTTTTTTCCTTAATTTCCCCAAATATAAAAGAACAAATTTTTTTCTTCATCCATTACACAATAAGGTGAAAAAATTATTCTATTTTTTTTTGTTTTTATTTATTTATTACCTTTGATGAAGAAATTGGAGGAGGGCCAACCGCGGAGGGTGGCGACGGAAAGGGACTCTTCGTCGGAGAGTTGGTCACTGACGGTGAGTTTGTGAACCAAATCGACGACGTTGGAAGGAGAAGCGCGTGGTGGGACCCAGAAGGAGGATCCCGGCACGAAAGGTAACCAGTCAGGTGTGGCCTTCTTAACGAGAATCCGTTGGATAAGGTCATCGAACAACTTGAGAGTAACCTCGTACTCGCCGTCGAGGTCGACATGGACTAGTTTCGGTTTGGTGGGTTGGGATGAACGGTGGCGATTAGGAACGGTCACCAAAGGGAAGGGCTTGAGATTGAGGTGGTTAAGGTTAAGGTTAAGGTTAAGTTTAAGGTTGTTCCTCGCCTTCGAGATGATGAACCTAGCCATGTTGACGAACGATACGGTACGGTGATTGAGGAGAGAGAGAGATGATGAAGAAGAGGTTACTTGTAATTGGGAAACAACAGAAATACAATACAGGGGATGGCACGTGGATTTGGGCACAGTTCAGAGGCGGTGGGCAATGCCGAACATGTGCGCTCTTGCCAACGACAAATGTATAAATAAAACCACTTATTACGCATGTAAAAAGGAAAACGTTTTATTTGCGATTTAGAAAATAAATTACTATTTTTTTTTTGAAATATTTTATCTAATTAATATAATTTTTTTTTTAAATTTCATTGGCTTATCGATTAATTGACTAATATGATGGAGTAGGATGATAAAATTCTTCGTATTAAGTGGTGTTTGGTTGAAGATTTCTTAAAACTTACCTATGCAAATCAAATTGACAAAGTAAGAAAGCAATGTTTGGTAGATGGTTTTACAAAATTTTCTTAGGTATTGTTCCTTATTTGTTCATAGAAAGCATGGCAAAGTTACTATTTAGAAAGACAACTTGATATCCACTAGGGCTAGCCTAGTGGTGTGGGTGTGTATAATAGGGTGTGTGTTAGTGTGTGGTAGTGTGTTCGATTCCCTGTAATTTCCAAAAAAAAAAAAAAGACAACTTGAGGGTGGTATTTTATATTTAGCTAGCTAAATGGCAAAAGAGCAACCCACTAATAGACTTAAAGTGCCAAGGTTTCACTTTTTTTATGGGATTATATTTGTAATTTGAAGTTATTTTCTAATCTATATTTTACCTCAAACCAAACATAGACTTTATAAATCTTACCTAATTTGTCTAGTAAATTTTTTTCTAACCAAACAACTTTTTTTACATTTTCCTACCAAACTCATTTTCCAACCATTTCCTTATCAATTACATTTCCCTAGTATTCAAAAAATTTCTCCTTAACCAAACGCCCCCTTAACATTACTGCGTACTCAAGATTCGGATTACTAATTAAGTTAGAATATTTATTACTAAAAGGGAGTAGTCACAAAAGGACAAAAATATCATGTGTCTGCTTTAAATCTTATGAATTAATTTTCTTTTTACACTTAACCGCTTAACAATAAAAAGAATAATAGTATATACACTTATGTGTATCATAATATTAAATACAAAAGATAAGAATGAGTCGGCCATAAGTAAGCAATATCCTATTTATAGCTAAAGTTTTTCTTTCTAAGTTGGGCTCATGATAAGGGGTTACACATCTTTATCTATTATATTTATTAGATGAGATATTATTGACTCATTCTTATTTATTAGATAGGATATTATTGACTTATTCTTATTAAATAGGATATTGGTGACTCGTAGCTGACTCATTCTTATTTATTAAATGGGAAAAATGTGTATAATTTTAAAGGATATAAAGTTGTGTCATTTTAAGTGAGAGAAAGAGATAAATCATGGGGGAGAGAGTGGAGGGAAGAAGATTTAAAAATATGGATCCCACATCTTTGTGAGAGTGAAAGGATGTAAGGAGTGTCATTTAAAATGACATACCTTTTCCCCTTATTAAATAAGATATTGGTGATTTATGGCAAACTAATTCTTATTTAATAAATACGATAGATCCATTTGTTCGCTGGCCAAACTTTGTGTTTCGATATCTGTTGAAATGGCTAAGAGATTTGATCTCATCTGTGATTTGATATCATCTAAAAAGGAGTGGAAGATCAAAGTTAGGGTTATCGGACTCTGGAGACAGCCCAACTTTCATCGACCTGAGATGAAAGACAATGTCGAGATGGGAGACAATGTCAAGATGGTTTTAATATATCAACATGTGAGTTTTGTTACGCATTTCTATCGTGCAGATTAGTCTTTTTTAATTCCTACAACTATTACATATTGCTTATGGGTCCTCCTTTTTGTAAGTAAGATTTAGTGGACTGTATGGGGTTCCCTAAGGATAAGAGATCGCTAGCGGAGGGTGGGATGTATGTCATACAAAATTTTGGTATTGGCCTTAAATTTGAAAAATTTAAGCCAACACAACATTGAGTACATACTTACTTTTAATCTAAGAACTGTTGTGACGCCAAGTGTCGATGTCAACCTTCCTACCAACAGTTTTTCATTCATGGAATTCGAGGAAGTTGAAAACTATCCTAATGACACTGTGTGTTTAGTTGGTAACGTTTTCTTCCATTTCTTCAAACGCATTATTATTCATCTATAACAACTAATGGAAATTTTGTTTGCAGACGTTATTGGATTTCTTTGTGGAATCAACGATTCTAAGGAACACATGGTATATGGAAAGAGGAAGAAGATGATAAACATAGAGCTGGACAATCTCAGGTGTTTTTTTATATTTATAGGGATGGGATAATATGAACGTTGCTATATTTATACACTTATATGTTGAATTGCTTATATTTATAGTTGTATTGTTAGCTGATATGGCAAGTAGTGGTTGCTAGTTAGTTAGTGAATTGTTCAAGATAAAACTGTAATAAAAGGGATACTCCCTAACCGATGGAGATATCATATCAATGTTAATGAAAATTCATTCTTTCAAATTCTTTTCTCTTTTTCCTTTTCGTCTCTTGCTTCCTTGCTCTTCTGCCAAGCACTAGATAGGAATTGTTATCCTTAAATAACCTTCTCCTCAAAGTCTAAAGGGAAAAAGAGTTGAGATTATTTTAGGTCCCAAGTAAAACGGAAAGATATAATGATGTTGGGATGAACTTGATCCCTCAATCTCGGCTGAGCAGCCTTTGCGGAAGTCAAACGCCGAGCTCTTAGCTCGGCTATCAGAAAGGTCGACCTGAACTCACCAGGTCAGCCTATACGTAGCATAAACGAAAATTGCGAAAAGGGAGAGAGAAAATGAACACAAACAAGATTTTAATGCGAGAAAACCTTCTCTAATGTGAAGAAGTAAAAAAAATCACGGGACATTAGTCCAGAATCAAACTTCCACTAATAAAATAATGGGTTACAAAAATCAAGCTTCACGAACAAGTGGTGGTACACTCAAACCTCCCCTACAATGGTGGTAATCACTCAAACTTCCACAAGGTTTTGTTTGAGAGTTTAGAGGAAAAGGAAAGCAGGGGAGGGAGAGGAAGGAAGTGAAAGAAATTAGAGGGTATTATATTCCCATGTTTAGGAGTTAAAAAAATGGTAAAGGAGAAAAATGGAGGGTTATTGAGATATTTTTAGCATTTTAACCTTTTTTAAAAATTAATATAATCATTTTATTTTATAAATTAAATTAAATTTAAAATTTGTAACAAAATTAATTTTGTAATTTTCACACTACGAAAAAAAGATTATATTTTCGACGAAAATTCTACATTGCAAACGACGAAAATTCCATCGAAAAATACTTTTCAGTCAGAATACTTTTCGTTGAAAGGCGACGAAATATTTTATTTGTCAAAATTTTTTAGACAAATAAATTTTCTGTCGAAATTTAGTTTTCGTCAAAAAATTTGACGAAAATAATTTCTTGATTATTTTCGACTAAAAAAAGAATTCCGTAAACAATTTTGACGAAATATTTTTCGTCCAAAATTTTTGATGGAAATGTGTTTGGATGAAAAAAAAAATTATCAAAATTTTTGAGGGTAATGTTTCTATCGAAACTTTTGACGAAATTAAGATTTCGTAAGGAATTTTGACAGAATAATTTTTCCGTCAAAATTTTTTACAGAAATATTTTTTGTCAAAAATTTTTATGAAAATATTTGTCGTAAATTTTTTTCGATTTTCATGGAAATTTATTATAAAATTTCAAAATATATTATGCCAAATTTTTTTTATGAAAATGTGTTTCATCCAAAATTTTCGATAGAATTATTTTTCGTTGAAAAGTTTGACGACAATGTTTCTATCGAAAGTTTTGATGAAATTTAGATTCTATCAAGAATTTTGACTGAATTTTTTTTCGCTCAAAAATTTATGTCAATGATTATGAACAAATCTTGTTTCGTTTTTAATTTCGTCTCTAGTTTTGACGGAAAAAAATTTCGTCTCTATTTTCGTCGTAATATGATTTTTATCAAAAAATTTGTTATTATTTTGGACAAAATTTTTTTCGTCGATTAATTCTATCGGTATATGAGACTTTTCTAATAACGTCACATTTAAGTAATTTTCATACTTTAATAATAAGGGTAGATAAGTAATTTTTAATATTTCCCCCTTCCAACCCCCTAAATTGGGGGAACTTTAATATTTTCTTCCCTCCATTTTTTTAAACTCACAAATAAGGGAAGAGATTAATAAAACTCTTACTTTCCTTTCTTTTTCTTCCTAAAACTAACTCTCAAACAAAACCTAAGGGGGTCTAATACTCCAGCTTCTCCCTAGAGTTGCTCTCAAAATCAAAACTTTAAACTTTTCTCACAAAATCCTCAAAATGTCTTAAGCCAACCTTTTACTTTATCCCACAACTAATGCTTATATAGGGGAGGAAAAAAGTTCAGGGTTTAGGGTTTTTCAAACCCCTTAATAGGCCTTGGGCATTGAAGGAGGAATAGGACCAACAATTCTCCCTTTTTCGACTTAAATGCGTCGGCTTCGGCAATAACCTGGCACCTTCACAACAGTCTTCAAATTTCTTTGCTAGTACCGGCTTGGTCATCATGTCGGATCAATTCAGGTCGGTGTGCACTTTGATGAGTTCGATCTCTCCATCTTCGCCTACATCCCAGATCCAGTGATACCTCACATCAAAGTGTTTAGTATAACACCTCAATTTCTAAATTAAATATTAATATATTAGATGAAAACTAAAGGGAAGGATTAGCGAAAATCCTGGAAACTAGGCTAAAAAGGAAAGAAAAGGTAAAACGGTAAATAGCCAACCACATAACCCTAGGAAGGTAAAATTGAGTAGAAGGTCTCAGATGATAAAAATAACCCTGGAAATGGATTCAGAACGAAAAATTGAGTGGTTAGACAAGTTTCAGAAAATTCAGTGAATAGTATTTTTACCGGGTAAAAATATTGCGGTACAGTTGCACCGTAAAACGTGTCGATTGAGTTTTGAGCTCTGGGTTTTGAATACAAGTTATAAATGGTTTATAGAACTAGGAAATATGATTTTTGATGAAATTTGACGGAAATTAGTAAGTTTGGGGAAGCGTGCCTATGGCGCGCGTAACAGCTTAAAACTACATTTTCTCC